CTGGCAGGCTTGCACCTGGCACGGGCACCGTAGCCAGCCCGTGCCCCTTTAAGGGGTCCGGGGCCGGGAGGGGGGCAAGAGTTTCCCTGGTGTTGGCCAGAGTGGCCACCAGGGAAACCTGGGGAGGGCTAGCCTCCCACTAGTTTGAATTAAGGGGCTACACACCCCTTAATTCGAACTAGCTAGTTCGAACTAGGCTTAATCCTCGTAAAATGAGGATTACCTATTTCGAACTAAGCGCTCCACTAGTTCGAATTAAGTTCGAACTAGCGGAGCGCTAGTGTAGTGCCTATCAAAGTTAGTTCGAACTAACGTCCGTTAGTGGAACTAACTCTGTAGTGTAGACATACCCAGGGAGACTTTGAACATAAGAACGACCATACTGAGTCAGACCAAAGGTCCATCTAGCCCAGTATCCTGTCTGCCAACAGTGGACAATGCCAGATGCCTCAGAAGGAGTGAACACAACAGGTAATTGTTGCATGATCTCTCTCCTATCATCCATTTCCAAACAAACAGAAGCTAAGGACACCATTCCTACCCATCCTGGCTAATAGCCATGAATGTATCTAGTTCTTTTTTTGAACTCTGTTAAAGTGCTAGTCTTCACAACAAGGAGTTCCACAGGTTGACTGTGAGCTGTGTGAAGAAAAACCTTTTGTTTGAAAAACCTTTCATTTCATTTGGTGACCTCTAGTTCTTATATTATGGGGAAAAGTAAATAACTTTTCCTTATTCATTTTTTCCATACCAGTCATGACCTTATAGACCTCTATCATATCCCCCCTTAGTCTCTTCTTTTCTAAGCTGAAAAGTTCTTCATATGGGAATCATTCCCAAACCCCTAATCATTTTTGTTACCCTTCTCTAAACCTTTTAAAATGTCAATGTCTCTTTTTTGAGATGAGGTGACCACATCTGTACGTAGCATTCAAGATGTGGGTATACGATGATTTTATATAGAAGCAATAAGATATTCTCTATCTTATTTTCTATCCCTTTTTTAATAATTCTGAATATTCTGTTTGCATTTTTGACTGCCGCTTCACATTGCGTGGATATTTTCAGAGAACTATCCACAACGACTCCAGGATCGCTCTCTTGAGTAGTTGTAGCTAAATTAGTCCCCATCATACTGTTGGGATTATTTTTTCCAATGTACATTAGTTTACATTTATCAACATTAAATTTCATTTGCCATTTTGTTGCCCAATAACTGAAGGTAAGAGTATGTGGGGATAAGTCTTAGTGGTAATAGAAAGGGAAACAAGGGTAAGAGGAATACTGGGAGGCTGACAGGAAAAACCCAGGAAGGAAGGCTGGACAGTGATAAGGAAGGGGAAAAGGACATAGCATTTCATTTTCCCAGATGAGGTATAAGGAAAAGGCATGTGGAACCAGAAGGAAGTCGCAGAAAGGGCTGACATTTTTGTGAATGTATTTATTTAACAGCTAAATGTAGGGCTTTCAAAAGTGATGATGGAATACAGGCCATTAAAAATCCTGGGACATTTGATTCACTTCATCACTTTTGAAAAATCTCTTCCTAAGTGTAAAACCCAAGTAACCTCACTTTGTGGAGATGCAGTATTTCTGCCCTAAATAGTGAAAAATTCAGAAGACAGAAACAAAAAACATGAGGATTTGTTGTTTGGTTTGGATTTTGGTTTTATTTGTTTGCATTTTTTTTGTTTTTTAGTAGGGAGAGGGGATCTGACGTAACCCTATGAGTGTGAAAAACCCTATGAGTGTGATGGCTAGGAAGAGATCCAAATGATAACAACAACAAATAATGAATGCTCTTTTCTTTTCACTCTTCCTTCTATGCTTCTACGTCAGCTATGGCAGTGTTGTGACACAGATCTAAGACAGATAGCCATTTCTAGTTCATTTACTTGGATACCAAACACCGTTAACTAACAGTTTCTTTTCTCAGATACTAATTAGATTGAATTACACACTTGAATTACCTGCATATAATTTGCTGGTGGTCTGAGTAAGGTCTTGCTTACACAATGAGAAAAGTATGCCATTTTTTTGCCTCTCTTATAAGTTGACATACTGTTTCTTGCCCCTTTCCCCCTTTTTAAAAATCCATTGCAAGAAAGAACAATAAATACATAAAATGATAAAATGTCATCTTTTAGAAAGTATCATAGTTACAAAAGTTAAGCTGATCCTGTTCCAATAAACGTCTTTCATGGAACCATTCTACTGCATATTCACAAGAAAGAAACCACCAATATTGTTGTATTTTTACAATAAAATGCCCCATTTAAACTTCAGCTCTTTTACCAGTTAATTGGCTTTCTGATCTTTTCCTCTTTAAATCCTGCCCCACTTTGCACACACATATCCCATGAACTTCAGGATTTGATTTGGACACATCAAAATGAGCCACATACAGTTAAGAGTCAGAATAGAATTAATGGGACCTGAGGATATAGGTACAACGTTGCCTAAAAGATTTAGGGAGAAGTTAAAAGATTCTGCTGGGGAAAAGGGACTAACAATTAATAAAGCCCTTCATTCAATAGTGCTCACTGATCAAAGGTAGAGGAAGAGGGAAATAAACTATGCTAATGTTGCTATACCAACCAACATAAAAAGGAACTTTTTCCCCCGGGTGAGCTCTAAAGTAGGAGTATAATAATCTGCCATGATATAATACTACTAATTTAAAAGGATTCATTAATCATCATTATTATTAGCTTGCCTTTTCCTCAAAAGCTACGAGAGCTCCTATAGTAGCCACATTTAAAATAAAAGAAATTCATCTGAAATATCTTTTGATTACCCTCCAAATTTCAGAAATATTTAATTAAAAAATACAAGCTCTCAAATGAAACAATAGAAGTGTACAGCACAACTTGTTAACTAAAAATTGTGCTTTGACATTCACAATCTAGAGAAACAGTCACTAATGTATATAGAGTAAATATAAATGTCACTTCCTACCTCAACAATGTGTGGCATCGGGTTAAATCCACAGAGATTGCACACAGTATTCTTGCATTCTGTACATGTATTAAAGTTGGGCGGATCCTTCGAACCAATGTTTAGTCCAATTTTACAAAGCGGACACGTTGATTTAGGCAGGGTAGTTTTTTCCAGATCAGGTGGCCCAGCAATTTTTTTAGATTCAGTAATTTGAGGCTTGCCGTCTTTAGCTGCAATAGCTTTCTTTTCTAATTCAGATCCTTTACTGGTTACAATGTGCTCTGCCTTGGGTGTGTCTGATTTTTCTACCACAGGAAGCTTGGCTTCTTTTTTCACAGGTGCTGCTTTTGGAGGTGGTTGAGCCTGACCGGCTTCTTTGTGTGGTACCTGAGATGGTGGAGGGGGCTGCTTAGTAGCAGGCCCCAGTAGAGGGCCTGAGGATGGAGCTGCTGGTTGGCTGGATGTGGAGATTAAATTTGAAGCCTGGCTAAAGATTGAAGCACCAAATCCAAAAAGTTTCCCAGTAACTGTTTCTTGTGGAGTTGTAGGCTGCGGTTTAGGGGTATCTGTGATACTTCCCAGATTTAAACTGAAACGCCTTGGTTGTTCTTGAGCTCTTGGCGGATGTTGAGGCTGTGGTGTCAGTTGCACTGGGGTAGTCTTGGGGCCTACAGCTCCTTGTTGTCCTTTTGGAATCTGCTTGGCATCAGGTTTTGGAGTTATTTTTGTTTGTGTTTTTTTAGGGTCTTCCTTCATTGGTGCTGGCTCTACAAGTTTGGGACCTTTAGTGTCTGATCCAGGCTGAGAAACAAATTTAGGCTCTGACTTTTTCTGTGACACTTGTGGTAAGGTTTTGGACTCTGGCAGGATAGCTTTCTCCCCAGCCAGATGGGTGTCCTGCAATAGCTTGGCAGATTCTGGTCTCTGGGGTTCCATTGTTTTCTGTTGAGTTGATGGAACTTTGGGACCTTGTGAATCCTGTTTCAGTCCAGATGCTGAAGAGGTAGGTGCACTGTCAGTGGTAGGCTTCTTTTGCTTATCTTCAACCAATGTTGGCTTGACCTGGTCAAATTTTGGAGTGGGTTCAATTTTCTGGGAGATCTGCGGGATAACGGGTTCAATGGGCGGTTGCTTTGTTTTCACAGGGGGAGAGTCAGGCATGGATGGTTGCTTTGTCAGATGTGGGGTTTTTTTAGGTTCTGAGGACTGGGAAGGATCAGGTCTTTGAGCAGTATCTTTCTTTTGAGTAGGCTGCTGGGGATGGGAGGGCGGTTTGGTTGCTGAAGATGGAAAAGTTGCTTTCTGTTTGGGTGGAGAAGGCTGTGGCACAGGACCATGGACTGGAGCTAAATCACCACCTAATGCTCTTTGCATCTGGCAGTTTAAACAGAGCCATTCTTTAACCTGCAGAAAAGAAGATTTTTTTAAAAAAATTATTAACATTAGGGTAAAGCAATGCTAATATTAGTAAATATACTTTTGGCTAGAATTAAAAGTTCAGATAAAAGGTCATCAAAAAGGGGAATATAATGCTCCTAAGGATTACTTTAAAATTAAAAAATGCAACAGAATTTTTCATTTCACTTCTGATTCCTGCACTCCAGCCTACCAGAACAACTCTGCATTTCAGACACCATGGAAATTCATGGGGGCAGCACTGATTTGCCAGCTTTAATTCACCGGCAATAATGATTTTTTTAAAGAAATAAAATATTAATAATTAACAACATAATAATATTCAAAAATAGTTTAGCAAATTAATGCTTTCAATAGGCGGCCATAATTATAATGATTAGAACAGAAGCAAATGCATTATTATTCTTAACTCTGCAACTATCAGGTCTCTGGCTTAGTTTGTAATTTTGGTTATGCTTTATATAAATGGGGAAAAAAGTCACAGTGGTGCACAATATACATATATTCATTTAACAATAGAGGTGTAGAATCATTTCATATGATCAGCTTCTGAGTGCAAGTCTCCTAAGAAATGAATGTGCAGCTCTGCTTACAAAATAAGGGCACTACATGACACATAATAAGGTGTTCCTGTAATCACATTGTTATTAGGCTTAGAAGAGCCAAGAGTAATTATCATAAGCCCCATTGTACTATTCATTATTCAGCACAAAGGGGAGGAATAAAGGAAATAGTTCATCTATTTTCTGTACCTCTACGCCTCTTTTACTGTAGTATCCAAGAACCTCATAATTTGCAATGTTTTTATCCTCACAACAGTCTTGTGAGGGAAAGAAATGCTATTTTACTACTCGAAAACAGACAAGATAACTAGCCCAAAGCCTAACCACTGGACCATTGTTGCTCTCAGCTAAATGCCTCCATAACTATTTTAAGAGAAGAGAGCAGAACAACTACAGCATTATTTCCCCCGAAGATCATTTACACAATTGTGGTTGGGGCACCAGAAGATTTCAGAAAACATGTCAGGTCAGAGGAAGATGAAGCTAGATGAATCTGTGCCACATGCCAATCCTCATTTTTTCCATGCTACCAATGGAAATGTGGGGGGAGGAAAATAAAATAAAATAAAATGTTGGGGGAAAAGGGGAGAAAAATGGAGAGAGAGCCACTCAGTTTGGCATGATCTCCTTCAAGGCAATGACTGCAAGCAAGGGAGATGCTGCTGCTCACTACAGTATTGTCTCCTGTTTCTCCATACTCTCTCACCCCTGGAAGTTGCACCAATGGAAATGAAAACTAAATTGACCCAGACTGCTTTTTAATTATTCCATTTCCCTCTGTACTTACCCACAATACATTTTCAATCATGATCAGAAAAAAGCTTTTAACATTTATACACAATATCTTAGAATTACAAACAGGGCAGAGGAGTGTTTAAACCGGACCAAAACCCATCTTCATTGAAAATGAAAGATAGAAGACTGTCAGAATGCTAACATTCATATTAATATAGTTTTGGTTACTGTTAAACCTACATCTGGGATCGTTTTCCATAGCTTATGTATGTTGTATCTAAGGGTACGTCTACACTACATGCCTCTGTCGGCAGAGGCATGTAGATTTCTTTATTCAGCAAAGGTAAATGAAGCCGCAATTTAAATGATCGCGGCTTCATTTACATTTACATGGCTGCCACGCTGAGCCGACAAACAGCTGATCAGCTGTTTGTCGGCTCAGCGTGGCAGCCATGTAAATGTAAATGAAGCCGCGATCATTTAAATTGCGGCTTCATTTACCTTTGCTGAATAAAGAAATCTACATGCCTCTGCCGACAGAGGCATGTAGTGTAGACGTACCCTTAGATACAACATACATAAGCTATGGAAAACGATCCCAGATGTAGGTTTAACAGTAACCAAAACTATATTAATATGAATGTTAGCATTCTGACAGTCTTCTATCTTTCATTTTCAATGAAGATGGGTTTTGGTCCGGTTTAAACACTCCTCTGCCCTGTTTGTAACTCAAATATAAGCTCTTGGAAACCAAAAAGTGTAACTGACTAAAAGCAAAACTAAGACAGGCCAGTTTCATTTCAGCTAACTGACAACAAATAATTAAATTTACTTCTGTACACAGGCCAAGGCTAATAAGTCCTATTTTGATGGCTTAAATGGTGCATAATTAAAGTAACCTCAATGGGAAAAAAGGCTTTACTATTTTTCCCTATTTTCTCTTTCACCATTTCAACCTCATCCAGTTGTTTCTTCTTCCTGTCCTCTTCATTTCCTCCTTATGACTGGAGGGGAAGGGGGCATGTTAATAGACCACTTAACCTTGTATAGTCCATTGAAATATGTATTAATATTTATGGAAAACAATTTGTTCCACTTTGTGTTTACAAATGACAATGAGTTAATTTCTTAGACCTGAAGAAGAAGTGTATGCAGGTTTGAAAGCTTGTCTCTCTCTCCAACAGAAGTTGATCCAATAAAAGATATTATCTCACCTACCTCGTCTCTCTTACCACCAATAAAGGCACTTAAATTAATGATGGCCTTTTAATTTTGTCAAATGCTTTCCTCACCATATGATATGATGAATGGTAAATACAGCACCTGGGTAAAACCTACCAGATTATAGTGTCCAATCAGAGTCTAAATAGATAAATTTGAGTTTACTATGTACTGCAGTTTGCAATATATTAGAACTTGAGCACCAACAGTGTTAACTGCCTCAATAGCCTGGATTTTCATCTTCTCCTTTCTTAATCAAAACAAAACTTTTAAAGTAAAGTTAATGGATAAACCCGACAACAGAAATTAAGAAAGAAAAACAGAGGTTTATTTCTTTTTAAAATTCCTTTGGTCTGGCATACATTACCGTGAGAAAGTGATCTAAGTTATGCAACCTCAGCTATGTGAATAGCGTAGCTCAAGTCAAAGTATTTAGATGCACGTGCTGTGGTGTATTCACTAAGGAGAGTCAAAAGTAGATGTTCCCCCATCAACTCCCCCCTGTACTTTTTGTTCTGGTGGAGTACCAGACTCACTGGGAGATACGTGATAAATCGACCGCTGGCGGAGCGATCGCTGCCCATTGATCCAGCCTGCAGTGTAGACATACTCTCTGTTTCAGCCATAAATTCCTCCCAGGCATTTCAGGGGGAGGAATGAAGTGCCCAAACACAAAAGCCATTGTAACCACTACATTTTATCTTAAAATACATCCACACTCCAGTTCTGAGTTTAACTGTAGAAGCTGTAAAATAAACTATGCAAAATGATGCTATTATCAACTAAAACACACTGAAGTATGGGCCTGATCATCTGTCTGCTGCCATCAAAGAATTTGCTGCTGACTTCAGTAGGCTTGGGCAGTATCAAATGCTGCTCTTCTATATTTTTACAGACAATGTAAAATTTGCCTGGTTGGAGGGTGCACACCCCATTCTCCATTTCCCCCTCTATTCAAAGATCATCATCACAAAAGGAGAAAGAGTGAGCAGTCAGATCAATGTGTCATGGACAACAATGTCCTCACTCAAATCTCAAACTTTACATTATATTTATTTGTGACTAGAGCCCAAAACAGACCTAATCTTCAGTGGCCTCACCACTGATCTTATGTAAACAGGCACTAGAGCTAGTGTAATTGACCCAGGAACAATCATCCCAGTGGATTCATTGGGGGCAGAAGAGGATCCTATGCTCCACCTCTTCCTCCATCCTGACAGTATAACAAAAACACAAAACAAAACCCCAGGACATTGCTAGACCACCTCAATATCGTATTAATCTTGTGGCTGAAATTTTAGCCATTTGGGACCATCTGACACTTCCTGGGGTGACTCTAACCTGGAAGGCAGGACCAGCAATGCTCAGAGTATAGAAAGACCAGGAGAAAGTAAAGATAACCTTTATACAGCCCTTAATGTCTCCCTCCAACCAGCCAGCATCAACCAGGCTCCAGAATGTTTAATATATACAGATTCTATGTATCATACATGGCAATATAAATGTGAGAAAAATTGGCATTTTTTTTAAAGGACTAATAAAAGGTATAGAATAAGTATCCAAAACCTCAGAGAGAGGTTTCCACAGAAATCCAAGATAGCTGCACACATCTATAAGGAAACTGAACATAGATTCATAGAATATTAGAACTGAAAGGGACCTCAAGGGATTACTAAATCCTGTCCCCTGACCTCATGGCAGAACCAAGCACCATCTAGATCATCTCTGATAGATGTCTATCCAATCTGCTCTTAAATATCTCCAGTGATGGAAATTGCACAACCTCCACAGGCAATTTATTCCAGTGTTTAACCACCCTGACAGTTAGGAAGTTTTTCCTAATGCCAAACCTAAACCCTAATGGTAACTACAGTTACCTCTACCTCCCCTCCACAGGAAAAAACAACAACCTTTTCTCTGCTTCACAACCATTTAAAATTTTAAAAAAAAATCTTCCAAGCCAAAGCTTTTTACACCAAGTTCATCCCAAACAGAGTTTTTCTAAAATCAATGAAAACAGATTCTTATAAAGAAAGAAGCATTGGCATAACCTGTACTGAAACCTCATGGGCATAAGGACAGTAGCATAAGATTATTCTTGTACTTACTTTCGATAATTCAGTATCCTTAATTTGATGAGAATCCTTCATGTACTTCCAAACATCTAATACAATTTCTATGAATTTTTGTCACAGAATAGAAAGGGTTTTTTCCCCCTCTCTTTTGCCCCTCACCCCTGTTAAAATTTAACAGATTTCATGCTGTGTATTTCCCTAGTAACATTTGATACAAATTCAGTATTGTGATATGGAAACCAATATCCTTATCTCCTAGCTCTGTGATGTGAATATTATGTCATTTCAAAATAACTACTGGATCGCCCCCTGTTTCCTATGCTCGACAATCCCCCACTCCCTGTCCGTGAAAAGCCCCTGCTTGCTGCACTCGCCAGCACCCCCATCTCTGGCT